TTGGTTAAAAATGATCCAAAATCAATATTTGAGCAAGTACATAACCAGCCAGTGTTCAAAACTGTCGCCTTTAGCCCGATTCTCAACGGTTAGCTTATAATAATGTTTTCTAATTTACGGGTACGGGTAGGTTTTCGCGGGAAATTCGAGCATGCCGCTGTGTCATTACGTCACGTCTGTAAACATAAAGAAGTTGTCCCGGTTTCTAGGCTGTCTATCGCATGTGAGGATCCTGCAGAGGGCCGATCGTTTATAGCCTTTTCTCACAGCAGCTGGAATAATTAAATGTATCATTTTGATGGCAGAATGTAATCCATAAAGGATTATGTGTTTATGAAACACATGTGAATGAAATTAAATTATATTCCAGTTATAAATGTGCTTCTGATTACAGATAGCCTGGAATTACAAAGATTTGTATTTTAAAGAAAACCAGTTCGAAGGAAGCATAATTTGCTTTTTGGGTTAAAAGGATTTCTTAATATGAAATTCAAAGAGTATGACAATTAGATTAGACTGTGCAGAAATTGAAATCCACACGCTAATACACACTATACTCATAGTCACCAATGCTGATGTTGTTAACAATCATTTGAGAATAAAGTATAACAATAATAATAATTTGAACGGTTTGATGTGATATGAGCTAACCGATCTTTAGATTTAATCACCATTGGTAGCGAGATTTATGGTAATGCTTTTTTCCTCAGTTGGTCAGAACAAACGTGGCAGACTTGTTACTTACTTGTTCAGATGGCAATATACGGTGAAAATGCTTATTTGGGTCATATTCCAAGACGTAGGCTAGAATCTGTGATTGCGAAGTACAGTAAATATCCACACATACTCTTCAAAACATTAGATTCATCCACGCTGGAACCGCGCCGACTCTCAACCCACGCAAGCTAGATGATTCCACACACAGCTGCAATTCCAGGTTTTCAAACAGAGATGGCGACAAAGAGGCAAAACGTACAGACTGCAGCTTTAATATCCTAATGATTTTTGGCATAAAATAAAAATTTATCATTTTGACCCATACAATGTATTTTTAATCAGTATTTAGCACACAATAGAAGACATTGCAATTACTAAATGATATTTAGACAGACTTAAAGAAGTTCCAGATCTATACTTGTGCTCTTATTATTTCCGTTATTTTGCCTTTAATGTAAATAAACGTGCAAACAATATACTTGCTCTTGTGAATTTATTTTGATGTTAATTACATTGTGTGAGCTGTCTCTTTAATACTGCGTGGTTTATATACATGCTGCTGCTGATTGGGCTGACATGTTTGACACACCCACCAAACAAGAGAAAACGCATCTCAAACCCCGTTGCACACCGTTTCCAGGAAACATGTCGTTCATCCGGAAACTGTAGCGAAACGGTACATTGATGTAAAGGATCAATCCACTGAAGGCGAGCGTAAGTGAGAACCCAAGTGCAGTTTATTTACAGAGTGATCCAAACATCCAAACAATAATCCGAGACACAGACTTGACTTGACTTGACATGAACAGACTTGACTTGACTTGACTTGAACAGACATAGCATGAGCAGACTTGACATAAGCAGACTAGACTCACCAACAGCGGGTTAAATACATTCAATACACGACGAGGGCACAATGGGAACATGAAGCTACTTATAGGAAACAAGAGGGTCACATGACAAGAACAAACCTATGGGAAACAAGACACATGACTAGGACAACCAATCAGAACATGACACATACACAAGGCAGAGAGACATGAGGCAAGGGAAGCATGACACTAACATGGACCATGAAACAATTACAAAATAAAAGACATGGAAAACATGAACATGAAACAAAACACCACATTACAATTGAGCTTGAACTAGCCCAAGCTCTTGTGTTTTTCTCCTTTTCCATCTGTCCAATCCTATTCTGCTCACAGGTGATTGGAGATGAGTTTGTTCCCCCGCTTTGTTGCAGTTTGCTGATTTTTGTAAAATAACTTATGTTTTTGCTTTTCAGATAAAAGGGTAGTTTCAGTTTAATATGTTGCGAACTCATTTATTGGTAATAAATAATTGATAATAAATAATATTGATGATAATAAATTATAAAAAAAATATTGGGCTTGTTTTTGAAGCTGCGGTTGCTTATTTGTCTCGTACGGAGCCCGGGAAGTCACCTGTAGGACGGTTTTGCAATTCGTCCCCTCAGTTTATAAACCGTACTCACAAATTCTTAAACTGTTCCCTCGGTTTAACAAATCGTGCCCACGGATTAATAAACCGTACCTACGAATTTCCAATCCGTGCGCTCAGATTTTGTAAACCGTACCTTCGGTTTTTGAATCCGTACCCACAAATTCATAATCCGTGCGCACGCTTTCGCAATCCGTTCCCTCGGGTTTGTAAACTCATGGATTTGTGGCCCCGCCCCCACCGGTAGATTCAACCACGGTGCCGGATGCATATATTGTGTTAATTAAACATTATTTTTCATAGTAGCCTATGAGACCATGATCCGCACTCACAAAATAGTCTTAGTTTTAGCGTTTATTTTATATTAATCACCAATAGGATAAAACACCGCCGCCTGTGGTTTATAGCCTAAAATAAACGCTGAAAAGAAAATTTCCTGAATTTTCTAAAAAACAAAACAAAAAAAACATAGAGTTTCGAGAGAAGGCGGCAAAAAGCAATACAAAACCAATAATGTACCGGTTATGTTGTCATTCCTTTGCTCTCTAACTGAATGCAATGTTATAATAGGCCTAGCTATTTAATAATAACTTTAACAGTGAAGCCAGAGTTAGATGCATGCTTCACTGTTAAAGTTATTATTAGCATGCATCTAACTCTGGGGGAAAAGCTTAGTATAATAAAATCACCTAAATACGTCTGTGAATGAATGAATGAAATATGTTAAGAAATTAATAGTACACAAACACAGCTCCAAAACGGTAAAATTATTTTTGTTAAGAAATTAATAGTACACAAACATAGCTCCAAAACGGTAAAAGGTTATTTAAAAATAAAGCATTCATTAATTATTTTATGACAAACAATGTACTGTCTTAAGTGCACTCATTTATTTAGCCTATAAATTAAAATAATAATAATAATAGCTATTATTATTATTATACATTTAGGTTACATATGCATTTAGAAGAAGGTTTTATCCAAAACGACTTACAAATGACTCCAAAGTCAGTCACAAAGCCAGGTTTATTATACAATAATAATCAAGTGCTAAGATTATCACAAAGATTTTGATGCACATCTTTCTTATTAAATCGTTGTAGTCCACCTCGTACTGTTACAATTGATACAGAATCACTTAAGACAATTTGCTGTAGGCCTATTTCACATAATAATATGCAATAAAACAATATACAATATGATTCGTTAACATGTAGGCTACCGAGGAGCTTGCTGCATGAATCCGTGAGTACAGTTTACAAACTGTCGCCACGGATTGTTTTTTTTTCTCCTACAGGTGACTTCACTGGCTCCGTAGTCTCGCGAGAGGTGCAGGTCTGCAGCTGGATACATCTGTGACAAGGGGCGTAAAGGGGAGAAAAAGAAACCATTCTGCGCAGCGTTCTTGATGCTCAGACCATCGTAATATTATTGCACGTAAGTTTTAAAACATTTAAATTCTAACGGGAAATCAGGCGGTTAAGTGAAACCAAGCGCGCTGTGAATGATGCTTTAATGTCTTTTGGTTTATCAAAGAACAATGTAACACATCAAGCTATGATTAAATAGAATATTGCAGTTTACGTAGCACAACAGCCTACATTTACTCAAATATCTAATTATTGTGGGAACATTTGATATTAATAGC